CCTAAACCCTTGACCCTTGAACCCTAAACCCTGAACCCTTGAACCCCTAAAGCCTAAAACCCTAAAGCACTAAACCCTAAATCCTAGGCTTTTATCGAGCTGTCGTACCTCTTCGCCGTCTTCTTCCGGCGGATCTCTTTTCGGCAAGCGAGGCTGGTTTCTTTACCTGTTCCATCCTTGAGGGGTTCCTTTCAGGGCTCTTTTCAGGAATCCTCCGAGGATCTTTATATGTAAGGTTCCCTAAACCCTAAACCCTAAACCCTGAACCCTTGCGGGTGCTGTAAACCCTTCAAACCATGCCTTCGGCTTAGCGCTTTTTCGGGTTTAGGGCTTCAGGGTGAAGAAGGATTAAGATTAAGGGAAGGGGGTACCTGCCGGGGGAATCAAGTTGGTTTAATTAGGTTCGAGATTCAGATTGCGACTAGAACTCGATTCCGCAAGTTCATTCGTAGCGACGAATGCCTGGTTTGGGGAGTCAACTGGGAGGTTTATACGCATCCGTGGTGGACTTGGGGAGATTGCATTAGGACTTTGTCACGGAACTTTAAACGGCAACACACCCTAAACCCTAAACCCTAAACCCCAAACCCTAAACCCTAGAGAATCAGACGCACGTGAACTCAGATGCAGGGTTTACATAGAGGCTCCTGGTGCACAAAACCTGACACCCCAAGTCACCAGCATTATGCTAAACCTGTAAACCCGATACCCGAAAGCCCTAATTACAGTAAAGCCTTAAAGCCTTAAGCTCTAAACCTTAAGCCCTAAACCCTAAACCCGAGAAGCCCTAAAAGCCCTAAAAGCCCTAAGCCCGAAGCCTTTTGCCGAGAACGACAGCCACGAAGATCAGGGGGTCTCCATCCTCAACTTGAGAGTCTCGAAGATTTAGGGTTTAGGGTTTAGGGTTTAGGGTATAGGGTTTAGGGTTAGGGGTTTAGGGTATAGGGTTTAGGCTTTAGGGTTTAGGGTTTGGGGTTTAGTGTTTAGGTCCCTTTAATGGTTTTTGACTGGGTTAAGCTATAAGAATATAGGGACTGCAAGTGAGTATTCTTGCCAAGTAGCACGGGTGGAATCTGGCAAGGGGTTCCTCATACCAAGAGGAAGTCTTGGCTTAGAGTCTGAGGGTGGGAGTGTTTCGGGTTAAGGCGGAAATTTGTCCACAGTGTGTACTATGGAAAGATCTACCCTGATTGTCTGTATAGAAGCGCGAGCTACCCAATCCCCCCTAAACCCACAGAGCCCTACACCCTGAAACCCACAAAGCTTCAGAACTTCGACCTAGGAGCTTTTATAGTGAGGGTTTAGGGTTTACGGCCAGTATCGCAGATGTGAAAGCTCTGCTTTGTGGACCTAGTCAATTGGAAGCTGCCCGTGAACCGTCAAATGGTAAACCCTGAAGCTTAAACCCCCAGACCTCAGACCCTCCCTAACCGTAGCCACGAGGCCAACCTCACCGAAAGCTTCTTGGTCAATGTCCCAGTGGCAAACTTGGAGGAGGGGAGCTCTTACTGACCGATAGTCTCCACGGTTTAGGGTTTAGGGGATTAGGGTTTGGGGTTGTAGTTCCTTTTTTTTGTGAGTCCGGCCTGTATAACGGTGGTTAACCTAAGCATAAGAATGTCGTTGGAGACTATAGGTAGGGTTAGATTAGGTTCGAGAGGGTCTTTATAGGTCTTTTTGTGTAGGTCTCCAAGAGGTCTACGAGGACGGTAGGGTGAGTTTAAGAGCGTTTAGGGTTGAGGGTGTTCAAGAGTTCTACAAGTTGTGAATCCTGTCCTTCACGGCTCGGGTGGGTGTTCATTGCGCAGCATTTCAGAACTACTGTTACAAGTGTTTTAGTGTTTCTATCGCTTGGGCGAGGTTGTTGAGCTTACACTTCAGACTGCTTCTGCTTCTTGAGGATGTGGGGCTGATTGGCAACATGTGTGAAGCCTGGCTTCATCCAAACCTCTTGTAGCGCCGGTTTAGGGTTTAAGGTTTAGGGTTTAGGGTGAAAAATCAAGCCAGGATGCCCAACTGAACCCACCCGCCTCTCCACTCCCGCAGACCCACCGCCAGCCGGCCCACCCGCCTGCTCAAGCATGTGCGCCAGAACACGCCCAAGCACCCATGCAGAGAACTTCCGGAGACAACCAGAGCATTCAAGTTTCAAGACCCAGATACGTGCAAACCCGAAGCCCCAACCCCTAAACCCTAAACCCTAAACCCTAAACCCTAAACCCTAAACTCTAAACCCAACCCCAACACCGCAGGTGCAGCTGTTTGGAGAAACGCTGTGGCACTCCTCAGTAGAGCTCCTTGGCTGGTGGGAGGCCATAGGCACCGCGGGGTTAGGGTTTAGGGTTTAGGGTTTAGGGTTTTGGGTGTAGGGTTTAGGGTTTGAATCCACAGCTTTTCCTCTGAAGCAATTGAATTTAAGTTCCGATAACAAGTAAACCCGAAAGCCTTCAACCCTAAACCGCTAAACCCTAAGCCCTAGACCCTAACTGATTTCCTATAGATCCTTATTCTGCTGACTTAACTTACGCTCCTGAACAGGAGCCCAGTTTCGTTCTTCGGACCGGCTGTGGATTCAAGGATTCAGGGATCAGGTCGACCCTGCCCGAACTCTACGAGCCAAGCCCCAAAACCCTAAACCCTAAACCCTCAAGGAATCTCCAAACCGAATAAGGTTTCGGGTCTTCAAAGATCCAGCCCCCCTAGAGCCCTTCAGGGGTCGGGGCTAGGCTCCCCAGCAGTGCCCTGTTGCACTTCTTCCTGTTCAGGTTCCCTTATTAAACCCATGATAGTAGGGAAAAGGATAATATAGAAGCCTAAATAATTANNGGGGGGGGGGGGTTCCTTATTATTCTAAATATGCTATAAAAGGACCCCAAAACCCTATTCAAATTACTAAGGCCCCTACATTACCTTTATGACTAAGGGGCTACTGGAGAACCCAGGTAGGGTATATGGAGCTAATCCCGAGGCCTCGTCTATAAAATTCGAACCCCAGAGATTCCGCAACATTCGGATTCACCCATGATGTTTAGGGTGTAGGGTTTAGCTTTAGGGCTTTAGGGCTTCCGGTTTAGGGTCATCAAAACCGACGACTTTCGATGCATCTCCAAGAATACCTTGAAGTCTCAGCCCCTTACCCCGTCCGCCCAAAACTGCACATCCGAAGGCTGCTAAGATGGCGGACGACGTGGTTTGCGGAGGGAGGCCAATAGGAATAATAATGCAGTAATGTAGGGGCTTTAATAATTACCTATGCTATTTTGGGGTTCCTTATTATAGTTATAGTATCATAGGCCTCAAAACCCCATTCTAATGATTAAGGCCCTTATATTATCCGTATCACTCGGCCATTTTGTATGATACTAATTGTAGCATCATCTGCTCCCAGACTCTACTTTACTCGTATAGCTTGGGCTTCCTGGTAGGTCCACACAAAACCCTGCAACACATGGACACACAAACGCTGCACCTTAACCTTCGGCAGTCTTTATCCCTAATCCGAATTTCTATACAGCCTTAACCCTAAGACCTAGTAGAGGAATCAAACAAACCCTGGCCCTAGCAGTCCCTTCTGAATAAGTGCACATAATTGTACCCTCGTTCCTCCAACCCCCTCACACTTCATAAGCATAGCCATGTACAGCTCCAGGCAACACTTATGCGAATCAAACCATACTAACCCCTGAACCCTAAGCCCTAAACCCTGAACCCTAAGCCCCCAAAAAAGCCCTAAGCTCTACAAGCCTGAGTCGGGCTCAGAATCGAAAACCCCTTAGAAGCCCAAAGAAATTGTTGGCTTAGGGCTTCTAGGGTCTATTCGTTTTAGGGTAAAGGGCTTAGTGTTTTCTTCCCAAGCCCAAATTCTAAACCGCGTTCTTCTTAAGGGACCTAGTTTCGTTGCCAGATAAGGCAAGCTTGCTATGTACTATAGATCTCGACTACGGTATCTTGAACTAAGTTCCGAAACCCTAAACCCTAAACCCTAAACCCTAAACCGAATTAAACCGGTAAGCCCTCCGCTCGGTGAAGCAAGAAGCCTCCCTTTTGAGGATTTAGGGTTTAGGGTTTAGGGTTTAGGGTTTAGGGTTTAGGGTTTAGGGTTTAGGGTTTAGGGTTCAGCAGTTCTGACTTTGATGTTTCTAGTTAAGAATTTTTTAGATATTAACCCACCCGCCCATAGAATCCCACAACATTTGAACATAATATCTTTTATTTTATCTTCTATAGTTAATATTTTTTATTCGGCATACCACATCCACTCATAGGATCTCATACAATAAGTGCGGTTTTCAAACTCACCGCGGGTGCTTGGCCGCTGGATTGCAACAGCTCCAAACGTCGAAGCAGGTGTTCCATGCGACAGGATTCTAAATAATTTAATGACTCAGCCTTGGAGGCGAAGGCGACCAGCTTCTGTTCGTGAACACTGTATCGCTGCAGACTCTGTAGGCTTCATTACTCCATCATGAAAAACGATGTTGTTTCAATCCGTGATTTTTAACTTCTGAATTTTCACAAAGTCTTCGTCGCTCAAGCTTACAGGCCTTTCATTGATACTTGGTGACTTACAAACGCCAGAGACTCTTTGTCCATACATGTGATTTTGGGAAGAGGCAGGGCTGAAGGGCTGGGGCTAGGTGCTAGGGCCTGGAGGCATGTGACAAGGGTTTTTGTCTTGGCAAATGCCCCGGTGATGGTTCGCAGGTTCTTATGGTAAGGTTTTTGTCTTGGCAAGTGCTCAGCGATGGCTCGCGGATGCTTGCGGTAAGGTTTTTGTCTTGGCAAATGCCCCGGTGATGGCTCGCGGATGCTTGTGGTAAGGTTTTTGTCTTGGCAAAAGGCCCGGTGATGGCTCGCGGATGCTTGTGGTAAGTTTTTTGTCTTGGCACATGCCCCTGTGATGGCACATGGATGCTTGTGGTAAGGTTTTTGTCTTGGCAAATGCCCCTGTGATGGCACATGGATGCTTGTGGTAAGGTTTTTGTCTTGGCAAATGCCCCGGTGATGGCTCGCGGATACTTGTGGTAAGGTTTTTGTCTTGGCAAATGCCCCGGTGATGGCTCGCTGATGCTTGTGGTAAGGTTTTCGTCTTGGCAAATGCCCCCGGTGATGGCTCGCGGATGCTCGTGGTAAGGTTTTT